GCCGCAGGTCGGGATCGGCGCCGCAGGTCGGGATCGGTGCTGCAGGATCGGGATCGGTGCTGCAGGTCAGGATCGGCGCTGCAGGATCGGGATCGACGCCGCAGGTCGGGATCGGGATCGGCACCGCAGATCGGGATCGGCACCGCAGGGCCCGGATCGGCGCCGCCCGGAACCACCCCTGTCCCCAAGGCGGCCCCGGGACCCCGGCCACCCCAAACCCCAGACTGGGCCCAACTGGGTGCCCTGGGCCGGGGCCATCCCGGCTCCCCTCGCCCCGCTCCGCCCCATCCCGCGGGAGCAGCATTCCTGCCGAGCCGGAGGCAGGAGAGGCCCCTGCCCGGCCCCGATCCCGCCGCGTTATCCACATTCCCGAGCGTGGATCCTGCTGGAAATCCTGCTTTCCCGCCGTGGAAAACATGGGAGTCTCCAGGGTTTCGCTTTCGCTCCAGAGCGTTTACTGGTCCCGAATCCAGCTTTTGTGGCAGCCTCCCCGGCAGGAATCCGATAGGAATTCCGATAGGAATCCCTGGAATAGACCCCCCGCCCCCGCCCGGGATATGAAAGGCCTTTCCCGCGGCTCTCCCGGAGCAGCTGGCCGCTCTGTGCCTGCCGTTGCCCTTTCATGGATTTAGGGAAGAGGCCGCGGGATCCTGCCGCAGGCAGAGCCGGCTGACGGCTACAGCCGGCTGGCAGCTACAGGCGGACAACCCCCGGAGCGCCCCCCGGGTGACAGCCGCGTGTCACCGCGCGGGGGAAGTTTCCCGGAGAGCGGCCGCGATTCCCGCTTGGAATCCGACGTCGTCCGCGGTGTCTCTGCAACACCCGCGTTACGGTGACGAGGGGACGTTGCCAACGGGGCCCGGTTGTCCCCAATTCCTGGTGCAGTGGGCACTAAAATGCGGCTGTAGCCTCATCCCAACCCTATCCCAGCCATCCCCTTTCCTTTTCCCCATGGATATCCTTGGCAGAGCTCTTGGAAGCAGATATTGGGAGCCGGATGAAAGGGGAAACCGGGCCCAGGCTTTGGTTTGGGGGTTGTTCTGCTGTGCTGGATGCAGCCCCGGGACCGCCTGGAGCCTCCTGGGCCTGGAGCCAGGCTTGGGATTGGGATTCCCGCCTGGAAAAGCTGCTCCCGCCTGGGAGGTGCTGGGAGAGGAGAGGGGAAACCTGCCTGGATGGGCAGAGCCCTGGCCAAGCAGCTGCGCGCGCTGGGGAGAGGGGCTGATGGGGAGCGAAAAGGCATGGAATTGGGCATGGAATTGGCATGGAAGTGGGGAAAAAAATGGGTGAAAAACAGGCAAAAAACCAGGCGTAAACCCAGGCATGGAAGAGGAGCTCCCGGCTGCTCCCGTGCAAACGCAGCGGCCGTGCGGGCGCCGGGAATTGCGGCCGCTTCCCTGGGGATGCGCCCGGAGGCTCCTGGCGCCCCGCTTCCCGGCCGGCCGCTCCCGCATTCCTGCGAGGGGCTTTTCCGCCCAGCTGCTGCTCCCCCGCGGCCGCAACAGCCGGCCAGCGGATCCCGTTGCCCTTAACCTGTGCCGGCTTTTTCTGCATTCCCTACAGAAAGATTGTAAGTAAAATAGATGACGACAAAGACGGGTTTGTCACTGTGGACGAGCTCAAAGCCTGGATTAAGTTTGCGCAAAAGCGCTGGATTTTCGAGGATGTGGAGCGCCAGTGGAAAGGGCACGACCTCAATGAGGACGGCCTCATTTCCTGGGAAGAGTATAAAAATGCCACCTACGGCTACATCCTAGGTAGGTCCTTCCCCCGGGGACGCAAGCGGCGCGGAGCCGGCGCTTCAAACCTGCTCTCTTGTTTTGTAGAGTGATTGTAGATAAGATAGACACGGATAAGGATGGGTTTGTGACGGAGGGGGAGCTGAAAGCCTGGATTAAGAAGGCGCAGAAGAAGTACGTGTATGACAGTGTTGAACGCCAGTGGCAGGACTTTGACCTGAACCAAGACGGACTCATCTCCTGGGATGAGTACAGAAACGTGACATATGGCACTTACCTCGGTAAGGGGGCAGCGGCTCGGAGGGGGGCAGGAAAGGCGGGCGGCCTCCGGCACCCGGCCTCCGCTCGCCTCCCGGCGCTCCTCCTCTGCAGCCCCTCGGAGGGCGATCCGAGGGGGAGAGCCCGTGGGGTGAAGGAGGGCGGCTCCGCTTTGTGGACGCCGTGGGGTGCCCCCCGCTGCCCCACGACTCGAGGGGGTCCCCAAAAGCACCCGGGGCTGCAAGGGGAGGCCCCCGGCGAGAGGCTCGGGTGGGGAGGTGCCCCCTCTCTTTCCCCCGCCCCGCCCCGGGGAGATTCCCGGCGGGATCGCCCGGCTCGGCCTGTGCACGCTGCGGCTCCTGCCCTGCTCCCAGCGCCCCACCGCCTGCCCTTTTGGGGCAAAAAGAGCAAAAATAGGAGCCTCGGGGAGGTCGTGAGGGGTGGGCGCATTGCCTGCGCCCCCGGGGGCCTGAAAACCCCCGCGAGGAGGGCAAAAAACACCCGCCCCGGGGGTTAAACCGTTGGAAAGCACCCGTCCCGCTGGCAGCTGTTCCTGCGCCCTGGAACGCCGACATATATGGTATGATGAGCTCCATCCCGAAAGCACGAAATAAAGCTTAATTTGCTAAATATTTCCAAAGATAGTAAAACTGCGCGGCGGGACGTATGGAGCGGCTGGCCGCGCTCGCCGGCTCATCCGTCTTGCCCGCGGCCGCTCCTTTGGGAAGGGGCCGCCCCGGGGCTTTGTTGGGAACGCGGTGGCGCTCCGGAGAACACCCAGCTTTGGGGAAAATAATATATCTCTGCTGGGAAATTGGGGAGGAAAGAGGGGAGAAGGGGCCGTCCCGGAGGCTTTGGTGCCCTGGGAAACGGGCTGCGTTTAAGGCCTGTGGCATCTTAAAAGGGAAAAATCCCAAGGGAAAAGGGGAGTATGCTCGGAGTGGCCCGGGAGCCTCATCCGGAGCGGCCGGGATCCCGGCACGGCATTCCGCCTGCACCCGCTATTCCTTACTCGAATATATCTTTTAAAATTAAATGTGTCTTTTAGAATTAAATATATCTTTAAAAATTAAATATATCTTTAAAAATTAAATATATCTTTAAAAATTAAATATGTCTTTTAGGTATATCTTTTAAAATTAAATATATTTTTTAATACTTGGAGATATCTTTCCGTACTTGGATATATCTTGTAGTACTTGGATATATCCCATAATACTTAAATAGAATACTTGGATATATCTTTTAATACTTAAGTATTTCTTTTGTACTCGGATATATCTTTTAATGCTTAAATATGATTTCTCTTATACTTAGATATATCTTTTAACACTTAAGTGTTTCTTTTATACTTGGATATATCTCTTAATGCTTAATACTTAAATATATCTTTTGTACTTGGGTATGTCTTTTAATACTTAAAAATGTGGTTTATACTTGGATATATCTTTTAATACTTGGATATATCTTTTATTCTTGGATATATCTTTTATTCTTGGATATATCTTTTAATATTCAATACTTAAATATACTTTTAATACTTGGATATACTTTTAATACTTGGATATATCTTTAATACTTGGATATATCTTTAATACTTGGATATATCTTTTAATACTTAAATATGTCTTTTATATTTGGCTCTATCTTTTAATACTCAGTAGTTAAATATATCTTTTCTCTGACGTGGACACTAATCCCGACGGTGTCCGAGGGCTCGGCCTCGCGCAGGAATTGCCGGCACATTCCCGGAATATTCCCGTCTCCCGCGGGAGACTCTCCCTTCTCCCCTCTTGCTGGCCCTTGGAAAAGCCTCCGCGGAGGCCGGGAAAGCTGCGGAGCCCCTTGTTGTGGGGAAGGGCATCTGTTGGGAGCGGAGCAGGAGCCCCAAAAGCGCCCCAAAAGGGCTCAGAAAGCACCCAAAAAACGCCCAAATACGGTCCAAAAAACAACCAAAAAGGGCCCCAAAAATACCCAAAAAACACCCATAAAGGGTCCAAAAAAAACCCAAAAAGGGTGCGAAAAATACCCAAAAAGGTCCCAAAAAACCCTTGGACCCAAAAAGGGTCCAAAAAATATCCAAAAACGTCCCCCAAAACACCCAAAAAGGGTCCAAAAAACCACGAAAGGGTCCAAAAAACACCCCAAAAGGGCCCCAAAATACCCAAACATCTAAAAAGGGTCCAAAAAATACCCCCAAAACACCCATAAAGGGTGCAAAAAAACCAAAAAGGGTGCAAAAAACACCCAAAAAGGGTCCAAAAAAAACCAAAAAGGGTGCAAAAAATACCCAAAAAGGTCCCCCAAAACACCCAAAAAGGGTCCAAAACACCCCAAAAGGGTGCAAAAAATATCCAAAAGATCCCCAAAAACACCCAAAAAGGGTGCCAAAAATACCCAAAAAGGGTCCAAAAACCACCCAAAACCACCCAAAAGGGGTCCAAAAGACACCCAAAAAGGGTCAAAAACACCCCAAAAGGGTCCAAAAAGCCCAAAAAGGGTGCAAAAACCACCCAAAAGCCGTCAGCCAGGGCAGCGTGCACAGGCCCGCGTTCCCGGAGCGCCGCTCCGCTCCGGCGCGGCTCCCGCGCGGACGCAGCGCCCGGCTGCGCCCCTCCGTGCCACCCCAGTCACTTGTCACCGCTCTGTCCTCCATCCCGAATCCCGGAGCGGGGCGTTCTCCTCCTCTCGCGGCATTCCCGGGAGAAACGCCGTGCGGAATCCCGCCGCTTTTGCGGCTCCGATTGGAAACCTTCGGGAGGAGAGGAGCGAACGTCCCTGTGGGGAGCCAGCAGGGACGGCCCTGCCCGCAAACGTGGCATCCTCCTTGCCAAATTATAATTAATTTCCTTAAATTTATTGAAAATTGCATTTTTTAAATCAATATTTTATAGTGAAATGGGTCTAAATTAGATTTAAGCGAGTGCTCTGCTGGAGGCGCCGCGGGCACTGGGCTCCTTGCTGGGCTCCCGGGAACCGGAGCCGATCCGGAGCCGCTCCGGAGGCAGTGGCCGCCTGTTCTCCAAGCGGCTCCGCCTGTAGCTACACCGCGGCGCCGCATCCGCTTGCGGGAATATCCTGGGAATAGCGGGAATGCTCCGTGCCCCGCTGTCCCCAAACGGGCACCCACGGGCGCTTGGGGAAGGGTGGGAGACGAGCGAGGCGGCCGCTTGCAGCCGTTGATTCCCGTGTCGCTCCCAGACGATCCCGATCCCGACGACGGCTTCAACTACAAGCAGATGATGGTGCGGGATGAGCGGCGCTTCCACGCGGCCGACACCAACGGCGACCTGGTGGCCACCAAGGAGGAGTTCACGGCATTCCTGCATCCCGAGGAGTACGACTACATGAAGGGCATCGTGGTGCAGGTGCGCGCTCCCAGCAACGGGAATGGGAATGGGAATGGGAATTCTCCGTGCCAGGAGGCTGCTGTGCAGCCCTATAGCCCAAATGGGTG